CTGTGCTGATATCTTTTGACAAAAATTAAAAATATATTCTTAAAAAAATTTCGAAATAAAATGTCGAGCCATTGTTTTTTTTTTCTGAAAGCCCTTTGTGGGAGGTATCCTAAATTTCACCCAGAAGAATTTTTTAAAACATTCATGATTTTAAATGACCGATGGGATGCACTCAATATATAGATATATAGATTGAGGTACAATTTTCAATAAAAAATAATAAAACCTGTAATGATTGGTTTTGAAAATGGCCTTTTCGATACAAATTTAAATATATCCCCGATATAGTGGTATCTTCTGAGCTCGGTGTTTCAAAAAAGCTGGTGCCGGCATTTCAAAGGTTTGGAAATATGCTGTCATTATTATTTTATAATTCGAGTGGGTTTGGGTCCACTTTGTATGGCCCCATATAACGGACGTTTTGTTTTCGATATTTTAAAGGTTTTGTGATTTTTCCTGTTCTTAGTGAAAAGTTTCAATGTAGGTCTAGTTTCTTTATAACAAAATATCCACATTTTAGGGATTTTTTTATAGCAGATTTGGCTATGAATCAAGTTTTTTATATGGTGGAGGGTATAAAAAGTTCTGGCTGACCAAACTTAATATTGCTTTTTCCAGCTTTTTGAGATTTTGTCAAAAATATCAACTTTATTCAAATATATTGTTCGTTCCTTCGTTGGTTCTTAAAGAAATATGTTTAGAACCCCACCACTTTTCCCTCAAAAATTATTCAAAACTTGAAAAAAAAATCTTCAAAATCTTTAATTTTGAAGTTTACCGAGGAAGATATTAATACACCACATATTTAAAACAATCTACACCTCTTTACCCTAGACACCAACAGTTATCTAAAACTAGAACTATTCACTAATTCCAACCACCCCCTTCTCTAGACACCAACAGTGAACTCGATACCAAATTTCAGAATTCCATCTATATCTCAACACCCAACGGAGCATTTTGTGGTATTTTGCACTTTTCGAACATTCATAGTACGCATTTCCAAACTCAACTACTCCTCTTAACTACAGACACTAAAAGCGACATTCATATTAATTTCAGGATTTTTTCAACCAATACCAAATTTAGTAGCATTTAGTTCTTTTTATACAAATATAGAACCCATTTTCAAAACTATCTCCATCTATTAACGAAAGATGTCAAAAGTAATCTTAATATCAAGTCTCAGGATTTCAGCTCCGTAAAAGCTAAAGTCAACTCCTTCTCTCAACCACAGACGCCAAAAAACACAAATTTCGAGATTCTAGCTCTATCCCTTCACCCAGTACACAATTTAGTACCAGTTAGTACTTTTCGAAAATTACGGTACACGGTTCCAATACCACTTCCATGTCTTAAACAGCGACACCAACAGTGACATCCATATCAAAGTTTATGATTACAGCTCTATCCCTTCATCCAATACCCAATTCACTACTATTTAGTACTTTTCGAATAATTATAGTACACACTACCCAAAACCACCTCCATGTCTTAACTGCAGACACCAGCTGCGACATTCATATCATATTAATATATTTCACACCTATCTCTTCACTCAATACCAAATTTAGTACCAGTTAGTACTATTCGTACAATTATGGTTCATATTTTCAAGACCCCCTCAATATTTCAATTCCAGATACCAGCAGAGATCTCAATATCAAATTTCAGAATATTATATATATATTCCTTCACTCAATATCAAATATAATACTATTCAGTACTTTTCGTGCAATTATAGTACACATTTCCGAAACCACATTTATATGTCCAGGCTACATATGAATAGCGGCCCCAATACCAAATTTCAGATTTAAAGCACTATCAGTTCATCCAATACCAAACTGTACCAAATATACAGGGTGAGAAATAAAATTTAAAATTTAATTTTATTGAATGAAAAAATGTCAGAAATATCATCAAATTTTAGAATAAGTTTAGATTTGTTCGAATTGGTCACATTTGGCACGAATTTTGGCCTTCAAACGGCCAAAGAAACCACACGCTGCCCGAATATTGCCCTGCGGTATTTTGGCCCATTCTCGGCGAAGCGCTTGCTTGAGGTGATCGACACTTTGGTATTTTTTAGTGCCAACCTCGCTTTTCAAAATAACCTAGACAAAATATTCCAACGGATTAGTATCTGGGAATTTTGGTGGCCATTGTGCGCTGGAAATGAAGCGAGAAACCTAATTTTGTAACCATTCTTGGGTGGCTTGTGGTGAGTGCGATGGTGCTGAGTCTTGTTGGAATGTTCAAGGTCTGCGGCCAAAATGTTTGCGTGCCCAAGGCTTTAATACACCCTCCAGAATATTTCCCGCTAATATATTTGGCATTTATTCTAATGCCACGGTCGATTAATACGAGCCAACCGAAGGTACACATTTACAGCTGACCTCTTTGGCAAGTAAACACGATCATTTTGTTTGTTTACAAACTGCTGGACAACGAATGTTTTCTCATCGGAGAAAACCATATTCGGCAGTTCACCACTTTCCGCCAAGCGAAGCAACTCTTTAGCTCTTTTAAGTCTATTTTCTTTCTGTTGCAGTGTAAGTTCTTGCACTTTTTCGAAATTCGATGGCTTTACACCGAGCTTATTTTTCAATATTTGCCGAATGGAATATTGCGATATGTTCAGCTCACGAGCCATTTTCCGGCCACTGCGACGCGGTTTTCGATCAAGTCGCTTCTTTCTTTTCGAATCATTTCTGCTGATGTTGCTGTTTTTTCCGTGCACTTCCTTGACGTCGGGCTACGCTACCAGTATCACGTTAACGAGCGATGGTACGAGACACAAAAGATTTATCCACATTTAAATGCTGGAGTGCTCTAACACTAGTCGCTTGTGGTTCTGCAGCCAAATATAAAGAAATCACACTATCACACTTGAATTCCATCACAAATAACTTTTTTTCTGGAAAATTCTCACCAAAATGCTTTTGTACGCTTATAAACAATATAATGAGCTGTCGTTGGAATAATTTTAACAGCTGTCGGACGAGTGGCTTAGAAATGACAGCAGTCTGAAGTTGGTTACAGTTTTTTCATCTCACCCAGTATATAAATAATAAAATAATATTTTCCTGATGGGTTCTCCAAAAATATCACAGGTTATTCTGAGATCTATAACTGTTATACAGTGATCTACTAAATCGTTCGGGTTGAGTTAGTGCAAATTCATACCAGTTTTCATCTTTCGATTTATTATCCTCTCCCATATTCCAGCGGATTGTCTGAGAGGGATTCAACTCAAATAATGAGAAGGTCAATCCTTTAAAAGTAGTTGAATAACGGAACGCGCTCAAAACTTCACAGTAGTCTATCAAACACTTTTTCTTGATGATATTAATGATCGATTTCATATAAATACTACAGAAATCCAAAAAGTGATGGAAATTTGAAATATTACGTCACGAGGGAAGTTTCAAATTTTCCAGAAATGTACTTTAAGTATCAAAATTTGTTTCTTGACCTTAGATATAACTATGTTTGTTTTTTAGAATTATGTGGTTCTCATCTATGATGATGCGGCGTGCATATATTTATATAATATAAATTTCAGAGATCTCTCAATGGAAAATGTGTTTTATAAAATTAACAACTAAGATATCAGGTCTTATCAAAACCTTTTTTATTTCTAAACATAACGAAGCATTCTCACTATAGAATGCTGCTCTCATACAATCGCACGTTAAAAATATAGAGGCATTTTTTTTATTCTAATTCTACATTTCACAATCTACAGCATTATGTAGGTGATTCACCAATCATTGTGAATATAATGTATGGTGGAAATTTTGAATTTTACTTTCAATTCGCAGTGCTAATACTACCCATATGAATAACAAAAAAATTTGGTTTATAAACAAGTATTAGCCATGTTAATCGGTATAAAGGAATTACAAAAAAAAACACACAAAATCGACAGACAATAATTGTTATCAACCAAAAATAAAAAAGAATTAAAATTTACAGAAAAACAAAAAAAAAAAAGAAGAAATTATAGACTTATTCTTATCTATAATTCTGTTTACCACTCGCCTGCGTTTCATGCCTTGCCTGCCTGCCTGCTTTTCTACAGCTCCCGACGACAACTTATCAGTTTGCTGAAAAAATGAATAATTAATCGGCAGGCAAGTGAGGTTCGTTCTCTTAAACCCCAAAAAGTACGAAACTGATCGCAATATTTTTTAAGAGAGAAAGATAAAGTTGTTTTGGTTCGGTTGGTTCCTCCATGGAGGGATTTTAAAAAGGGAGATTCCAATTTGAAGTAGTCTCTTTAAAACGTTTATCAGTTATAGACGTGCTGTAATTTGAATGTTATTATTTTTCATATAATAAAGCGAAAAATTGGAATAAAAAAATAAAAAAAACAACTACGTCAATCAATTGTGTTTTAAAAAATTCAATTCAAAATCGAAATTGTCAAGAAAAAAACGCTGTGATTTTTTAAACTTGAATACTGTTTTTATTGCAAAAACTAAAAATCATAACAATTACATCAAACCTAACCTCACCCAACCACAAAAATCTAATAAAAAATTGTGAAATTCTAATTTGATTTAAGATTAAATCTTAATTATAAATCATGAAACATTATATCTATAAAGTAGGTGTCGTCTTACCCAAAAAATAAAAAGAAAATAAAAACATTAAAATAAGAATTACCTCTCTTCCATTCTTCCCACTCCAGTGAAATTGCAATTCTCTTGTGTGTGTTTTTTTTTAACTCTCCTCTCCAAATTTGCTGAAATTATAAATAATTTCATTATTAATTTTTCTTTTTTTCTTTCTCTTTTTTGCTCACTCCCGTTTTTCATTTTCTTTCACATTCCAAAAATAAAATGTGCATCGTGTGTGGGTATTTTGAAACAAAATATTTTAAATCTGAATATTCAAAACAAAAAAAAAAATAATAAAAATTTAATATTTGGCAAATATTTCGGGTTTTTTTCAACTCCATCGCATCCATCGTCCATTCCTCATCGTCGTAGGAAAGTGAAATTGTCGAAGTTCTTTGGAAACAAGATGTCGATTTGGGCTTTAGCCTCACCGAAGCCCAACTGGCCGAACTTGCCGGCAGTAGCAGTGCTACGGAAAATGCCGTCAACAGCGAGGATGAAATTGAAAAGTTGAAAGCCCTCGAGGCTCTCAAATTGGATAATGTAAGTCTAATTAACTACGATAATTGTTTTCATCAAAAATGTACTTTGTCTAGAGCACAACAGAATCTCATTATATTTTCCTTCCATTCTTTAAAATTCATTTTGTTTTTGTTTCCAAATTTTTATTTTTTGTATTCTTTTTATAATTGAAAAAAAAAAAAAAACAGACCACAGGGTCCTCTGTCATAGAAGACCAGAATGTCTTCTGTCATAGAAGACCACAAAATCTTTTATAATAGAAAACCATAGAGTTTTCTGTCATAGAAGACCACAGGGTCTTCTGTCATAGAAGACTTCAGGGACTTCTGTCATAGAAGATCACAGGGTCTTCCGTCATAGAAGACCACATGGTCTTCTCTTATAGAAGACCACAGAGTCTTCTGTTATTGAAGACAGCAGGGTCTTCTATCATAGAAGACCACAGAGACTTCTGTCATAGAAGACCACAGGGTCTTCTATCAGAGGAGACCACAGGGTCTGCTATCATGGAAGACCACAGGGCCTTCTATCATAGAGCACCACAGGGTCCTGCTATCATAGAATACCGCAGGGTCCGTAGAGTCTTCTATCATAGAAGACCGTAGAGTCTTCTATCATAGAAGACCGTAGAGTCTTCTATCATAGAAGACCGTAGAGTCTTCTATCATAGAAGGCAACAGAGTTTTCTGTCATCGAAGACCACAAAGTCTTCTGTCATAGAAGACAACAGCGTCTTCTATCATAGAAGATCACATGGTCTTTTATCATAGAAGACCAGAAGGTCTTCTGTCGTAGAAGACCACAGATTCTATATAATAGAAGTCCGTAGAGACTTTTATCTTAGAAGACCACAGAGTCTTCTGTCATAGTAGACCACAGTGTCTTCTGTCATAGAAGACCACAGTGTCTTCTGTCATAGAGACCGCAGTGTCTTCTGTCATAGAAGAGCACAGTGTCTTCTGTCATAGAAGACCACAGGGTCTTCTGTAATAGAAGACCACAGGGTCTTCTGTAATAGAAGACCACAGGGTCTTCTGTCATAGAAGACCATAGAGTCTTTGTCATAGAAGGCCACAGGTTCATCTATCATAGAAGACCGCAGTGTCTTCTGTCATAGAAGACCGTAGAGTCTTCTGTCATAGAAGTCTACAGAGTCTTCTGTCATAGAAGACTACAGAGCCTTCTGTCATAGAAAACCACAAGGTCTTCTATAATAGAAGACCACATTGTCTTCTATCATAGAAGACCACAGGGCCTTCTGTCATAAAAGACCACAGGGTCTTCTGTCATAGAAGACCACAGAGTCTTCTGTCATAGAAGACCACAGTCTCTTCTGTCATAGAAGACCGCAGTGTCTTCTGTCATAGAAGAGCGCAGTGTCTTCTGTCATAGAAGAGCACAGTGTCTTCTGTCATAGAAGACCACATGGTCTTCTGTCATAGAAGACAACAGGGTCTTCTGTCATAGAAGACCACAGGGTCTTCTATCATAGAAGACTACATTGTCTTCTATCATAGAAGACCACATTGTCTTCTATCATAGAAGACAACAGGGTCTTCTATCATAGAAGACAACAGGGTCTTCTATCATAGAAGACAACAGGGTCTTCTATCATAGAAGATCGTAGGCTCTTCTATCATAGAAGACCACAGAGTCCTTTGTCATAGAAGACCGCAGTGTCTTCTGTCATAGAAGAGCACAGTGTCTTCTGTCATAAAAGACCGCAGTGTCTTCTGTCATAAAAGAGCACAGTGTCTTCTGTTCTGTTATAGAAGACCACAGAGTCTTCTGTCATAGAAGACCACAGAGTCTTCTATCATAGAAGACCACAGGGTCTTCTATCATAGAAGACCACAGGGTCTTCTATCATAGAAGACCACAGGGTCTTCTATCATAGAAGACCACAGGGTCTTCTATCATAGAAGACCACAGTGTCTTCTGTCATGGTAGACCACAGTGTCTTCTGTCATAGAAGACCACAGAGTCTTCTATCATAGAAGACCACAGGGTCTTCTATCATAGAAGACCACAGGGTTTTCTATCATAGAAGACCACAGAGTCTTCTATCATAGAAGACCATAGGGTCTTCTATCATAGAAGACCGTAGACTCTTCTATCATAGAAGATCGTAGGCTCTTCTATCATAGAAGACCACAGAGTCTTTTGTCATAGAAGACTACCGAGTCTTCTGTCAAAGAAGACCACAGGATCTTCTGTCATAGAAGACCATATGGTCTTCTATCATGGAAGACCATTGGGTCTTCTGTCATAGAAGACAGCAGCGTCTTCTATCATAGAAGACTATAGGGTCTTCTGTCATAGAAGACCACCGGGTACTCTGTCATAGAGGACCACAAGTTCTTCTATCATTGAAGACCACAGGGTCTACTGTCATAGAAGACCACAGGCTCTTTTGTCATAGAAGACCACAAGGTCTTCTGTCATAGAAGACCACAGGGTCTTCTGTCATAGAAGACCACAGAGTCTTCTATCATAGAAGACCAAAGGATCTTATTTCATAGAAGATCACACGGTATTCCGTCATTGAAGACCACAGTATCTTCTGTCATAGAAGACCACATGGTCTTTTGTCATAGAAGACCACAGAGTCTTCTATAATAGAAGACCAGAGGATCTTATTTCATAGAAGATCACACGGTATTCCGTCATTGAAAACCACAGGGTCTTCTGTCATAGAAGACCACATGGTCTTTTGTCATAGAAGACCACAAGGTCTTCTGTCATAGAAGACCACAGGCTCTTCTATAATAGAAGACAGCAGGGTCTTTTTTCATAGAAGACCACAATGTGTTCTATCGTATAATTCACAGGTATTCTTCTACACAATATTTTGTAAGTAATATTTTATGGATTGAATATTTAGAATGTTCATACAAAGGAAATGCAATCAGTTGTTAAATCTATTTTGTTGCACAGTGTTATGTTTACACTGTGTTTCAAATAGTTCACATAAATATCCTAAAATAAATAATAGCACTGCCAGGCCAAAACATATTTTCATGAATACTCATCTTGGTGTCTTATCTGAATACGTGTGGTTGTAATCTTAAATACCATATCAAATTTAGTTTATAGGCTGCATACATACATATATAAATATATGTATAAATAAATGAATGTGGGGGAATTTCCACCTAAAGTTATTGTCTATTTTGTTTTTAATTTTTTTTTTTTTCAAAAACAATTTTAAACTTGCTTTTTATGCTTTCATTACGCTCTCTAGCCCAAATATGATTCCAAGGACGTTGACGATGAGGATTCAAATCAGTTGGCGTCCAATGAATGGACTGGCATACCGTTTACCATTGACAATGAAACTGGTGAGTAATCGATATATGAATATATGATTTAAATTCGAATATGTTTCCAAAAAAAATAAATGGCCAACCTAAACACCTAACAGGAAATCCATGGAAACATTTCATTTCATTCATTTTCCTGGAATTTGACTATATTTTTGTCAATAGATAACTTTATGTCAGTTGAATTTTTTTGGCCAATTTCATTTTACACCTATTGAAAATATAACTAACAATTTCATAATAAGTGTTTGTACTAAAACGATAATTTAATAGCGATAAAAATTCTCTTGAAAAAAAAATAAAATATTGGGATAGGAGATTTTTACACTTGGCCGGGCTGCGAAAGGGGTTAGGTAGCTTATCTTATCTGGAATACAATAAACCAACAGACGAGAGAAAAACATGCGCAAAAACATATACAACAAAAAAAAGGTGTAGACAAAGGCGCTAAAAAACTTCATGTTTGTTTGGATCTGGAGAAGTAGGCAATTTGACGAAATAAAAGAAACGATTTTGCGTTATTTCAAATATTTGAAACTTTGTTGGTGGGGAATGATAAACCAAAATGTTAAAATATCATAATATACACATATACGCATTTATTTTCAAACAGATCATGGAATTCTCAAGAGTTATATGTACTTCAATAAACATACCCTTTGGTCTTCTTTTTATAGAAAGTACTATTAGACTTTCTTTTAGGAAAATTCTACTTTTTTATTTCTTGAACGACGATATTCTTTGAGAAGAAATTTCTTTTCTTCTTAAGTCGTCTATGGGAAGACACTTAGGTATTCTGTGAAGAGACCATTTGGTCTTCTATGAGAAGATCCTTTTGAGTTTTATGGCAACACCCTTAAGTCTTCTATGAGGTACACCCTTAGTTCTTCCATGGTACGATCCTTAGGCCTTCAATGAAGAGACCATTTGGTCTTCTATGAGAAGACCTTTTGGTATTTTATGAACCTATTGACTTCTTTGAGAAGACACTTTGGTCTTTTATGAGAAGACTATTTAGGCTTTTGTGGGCCGACCCTTAGGTCTTTCATGAAGAGACCCTTTGCTCTTCTTTGAAAATACCCCTTTGGTCTTATATGAGAAGACCCTTCGGACTTCTATGAGGAGAGCCTTTGGTCTTTCATGGGGTGATCCTTCGGCCTTCCATTAAGAGACCCTTGGTGTTCTATGGGAAGTCCCTTTGGCCTTCTATGAGAAGCCCGTTAGGTCTTCTATAAGAAGATCTTTTGGTCTTCTATGATAGTACCCCTTGGTACTATCATAGAAACCTGTTGTCTTCTCTGAGAAGACACTTTGGTCTTTTTTTTTTTTTTTTTTTTTTTTTTTTTTTTTTTTTTTTTTTTTGAGAAGACCATTTGGCCTTCTGTAAGAAGTCACTTTGGTCTTCTATGAGAATATCCTTTGGCCTTCTATAAGAAGACACTTTGGTCTTCGTATTTAGTGAGACCTTTTACACTTCTATTTGAAACAATATCTACTCCGGAGGTCCCCATGCGCCTTCACTGCAGTCCTTGAGGACAATCATCAATTGTTGTTGTTTTGCGTAAGTTTTCTCTTCAGTCAACAATCCGGGGTTGTTTTAGATCCTACTACCATATGGATCTACAAAGACTGACCACATGATAAATTCTGGTAGTGAGATTATTAGGCGATTTCCCTATAATTACCTAAGTTTCAGTCTAATCTTAAAAACCTTTAAATTAATTATGAAACATGTCCGTGCCTTTATTTTCCAGGACTATTTTCTAATTCAAACGTAATATTTAGTTATCCTTAAGCGTCACACAAAGGAAGCGAACTTATTTATACAAACATATACATAACTACAAAATACATAGATAAATATATATGTTTCTTCTATGTACACAACAACATGGCATATTATGTTCTTGAGCTCGTGTGTGTTGGTGTTTGTCTTTTGTCAGCACAGTAATGGATATGGCTAAACGATAAATCTACTAGATAAACATAAATGTGCGTTTTCCAGCCGAACAACTGACAGCTAGTCTGACATTTGCCTGGACTAACATGCCATAATAAACGATCAAAGAAAACTGATATGTCGAGGGGAGATGGGGGAGTATGGGGGTATGGGATACACAAATATGTTTTTTTTCACTAGATGGGATACCATTACCGGGAAAGAATTACATTTAAGCCTGTATGTCTGTTTGGGAAGTTGGCTGGGGGTGAACTCTTGGATAATACAAAAGGCCAAACAAAAGAAAAAAGTAAACTTTTTTTTAGCTAAGCATACTGTGGCAAAACTCCCCTGAACCCAAGTGAAAAAAAAACAACTAATCAAAGTTTGCTTGCCCTGCCACACAATGCGGTGATATGGCCACTATATACATCGTGAGTGAGCGTGTGTGTGTTTTCTAGATAGGCAATCAAACCGAACAGAACAACCACCTACTGGCAACACATACTCTCGTACCAAACACCCCACAATGGCAGCTAAGCGTCTTCGCATGGGCCTATATGGGCTTAGAGTTTTTCTTTGATTAAATTACATATCGTCCATGGAAGGGGAGGTAGTATTGGGTAGAGGAGGGCGATGGCGTTCGTAGTGGCATTAACATACACACAATGCGATTTAGATTTTGTTTTCTTCAAAATTTCTAGCAAATCATGCCCTGATCATTTCTCAAAGTATGAAACGAGAAAAAAAAAACTTTTTACCACTCGTGCTTCTCCTGCTGCTTTATACGACGTGCATGGTAAAGATGGTTTTGGTAATAGCTTATGTTACGATGTATATATGTATGCATGTCAGTTCAGTATGCCATGACGTTATGAAATGTATGTAATATTACGAGGTGTAAGAAGTTTTTAAAGGAAATTCGTAGGATTTTTGTAAGGATTTTATTAAAATCACTAGCTTTATGTTTTAATATGATCCTGGGGCATCTTCGAAAAAAAAAAACGAATTTTTCGTTTTTTTAGTGAAACCACATAATCTGATTTAATAATAATAACAGTTTGTTAAAAAAGGTCCAAAAAAAATCTTGTTCTTCTTCTATAATATCCTCTTTTATGGGAATACCATTCGGCCTTTGATCAATGAAGCCTCCGATATGAAGTCTCCGATATATATTTTATTTGAAATGGCTTATTTCTCTTAGTCTTACGATAATTAAAATAGAAAAAATATACTTCCGAGAATACTTTTTGATTCTCATATTCTAGTCTCTTATGGAAGGTTCCGCGGCAACTTCTGAACTTATTCGAGCAGACCTATTCAAGAGTTCTTTTAGAAAAATGTATAATATTTTACGGGGAGGACTTCTGTTATATGAAGGTGTATTGTTGTTTATTTAAAAACCATTTTGGTATTTTAAAGAAGACTTTCTGACAAAGAGCGCATGTCTTCATTGGGAATTCGTTTTCTAATTTTATAGGGAAAACTTTTATGTAGACCTTCTGGAACCTTTTGGGATCATTTTATTTATGTGATTATTTTTATGAGAGGACCTTTTAGTCTTCTATGAGAAGAATTTTCACCTTCCAAAGCTTTTATGGAGACCCTCTGGAACCTTTTGGGATCAGTTTATTTATGTGATTATTTATATGAGTCTTCTATGAAAAGAATTTTCACCTTCCTATGAATGACCTTCTGGGTTTGTAGGAAAAGTATTTCCAAATATTTTTGATAAATCCTACTGGTCTAATATATGAAAACTTTCTTATCTCTCATATGCAGATTTACCTTGAATACCAAAACATTGTGGTTTTCTATGAGAAAATTTTCTGATTCTCAGTATACAAACATTCTGCTCTTTAATAAGAAGGCCTGTTTGTCTTTTATAGGAAGACCTTCTGGTCTTCTATGAGAAAACTAGCGATCTTCTATGAAAAAAAAACATCTGGTGTTCTATCCGGAGATCTTCTGTTCTCTATAGGAGGAAACCTTTTTGCCTGCTATTAAAAGAGTTTTTGGTCTCCTATAAATCTCTACTCTTCTAAAAGAAAAACTTGTACTCTTTTATGAAAAGCCTTCACTTTTATTTGTGCTTGCTTTCAATGAGAAGATTGTTGTCCTTCTAAAAGAAAACGTTCAGGCTTTCTATGAGGAAAATTGTGATATTTTGTGAGAAAACTTCCTGGTCTTTTACGGAGTACACTTCTAGCCCTCTTTTTCAGATCTACTGTAGGAAAACTTTCTGGTTCTCTATGTGAAGTCTTTGAAATCTTCTGTGAGAAGAATTTCGGGACTTCTGTGAGATAGACTATATGATCTTCTGTGAGAAAAGCTTCTGCTCTTCTATAAGTATAGCTTCTGTCCTTCTATGAACATAGCCTATGCTCTATTTCTATTTTTCTATATATTTAAGAATTCATTTTAATTGTTTTGTACATCAAAGCTATCCAAGATTATTTATAAATCATTAACAGTTTTTCTTAAACACCTCCGCTTGAGCACAACCTCTGCTCATCTAAAAACACAGCCTCTGCTCTTCCATGAGTATAGTTTCTGTTCTTCTGTGAGCATGCTCTTCTCTGATCATACTTCTACTCTTTTGTGAGCATTGGGATTCTTTGAGATTCTGCTCTTCTATGAGTATAGTTTCTGTTCTATGAAAAAAGCTTGTGCATTTTCTTTAAACATAATGGCTCTTCCATGAGCATAGCTTCTGCTCTCGAGTGATGCATAGTTCATCCTACTCTTTTACGAGTAGTCCTTTTGCTCTTCTAAGGGTAAGCTTCTTCAGCTTTTATGTGGGTAGACCTTTAGCACCTCTATTAGCAGACCTTTATCTACCCTATGGGCTTTTTTAAGATACAACCTTTAAAACTTCTATGAGAAAACAATTGGTCTTCCATGAGAAAACCTTTAGGTCTCCTTTAAGACGACCTTAATTGCTCTCAAATGAAAAAAAAATCTGTTTTTAATGATAATAGTACTGGTTTTATGTGAGCACTTATAGGTCATTGGAAACACATATCTTCTATGAAAACCCTCTCTGTCATTTTTCAAAGCTCCGACTGACCTTCTGTGG